CTTACCGCTGCGATGGCAGCGAGCCCAGCCCTCGGTTGCGACAGTCGTTGCTGCCATTCCGCCATGAGATCGCGCCGGAGCTCATCCCGCCACGCACCTATCTGGCGCGGCAGCGGGGTTTCGCCCCGGCGACGTGCCTCCGCGCGCATGCTGTACACGCGCGCGAGCACCTTCGCCTCCAGATCCCACGGCGGTAATCCGGCAAGGAGGTTCGCCGACTCATTTTTTCTTACATAAGAACCTTCTAACAATAACAAGCCCCAAGTGAAATTAGTTCAGCTGTTCTCGAGATTTGCGCTTAGCAAGACATTTAGCGTTTCTGTGTATACTGCTTAATTCCTCCTGAAAGAAATAACAATTTATGTACATTGGGTAAATAATTTAATGTTGTCGTCACAAGTGCTACTGTGAAGTGGATTGGTTTTTACATACAAGGGTAATACAAAACTTCAATTCTAAGGAAGAATTCAATGTCTTTTAATTAATTCACCTGGGAGTCTTCAAGGCCCGAGTGAATAGGTTGCTTATGGGACGACGTGCTCCATCGTAGACCGCATCATCGGTTACCACCAGGCGAGATAGTGGTCAAACGTCGGCCTATAAAATATTTAAAAAAAAATTGTAAATAATGTATGATGTGTAATATTCTAAACAGAAAATTTTATAATTTCAGGTTTGCAAGAGTGTTGAAATTATCTAACGCGCCAAGTCCAGGATACAACATAGAGCAAGCTGCCAAAAAGGGAACGAAATTTTATCAGCTTCCTTATTGTGTGAAAGGTAATGTCAAGTAAATACATCGGGAATTTCACAATTCGGCACTGTTATTGCAAGTTTGATTCAAATATTTTTGACTGCACGCACGGTTACTGCGCACCGTGTCGCAGTTTTGATTCCCGCGAAATTGTTGTTGCGGGTCTGGGTGTGATGTGTGATGTAAATTTGTATCTTTAATAAAATACCCAAGACCAGTGAGGCTAAGGACTCACGGCGCCATTTTCTCGCGCGCCTGTCGCGGTTGTAGGCCCTCACCTTTTGTACGCCGCGGTTACGATTGTTTTCGGCTGCCGCTGCACTGGCGGGCGGCCGCGGGCCTGCAGCCGCGGCGGCTAGCACCCGCACGCTCTACAATCGCAATGGGACGGCCGGTCTAGAACTCAACTTGATTGTTTAAGCGTCCACTACCCGTTCCGATAATCAACCACCAAGTTTGCAGGCGATAATCGCAAACGAGGCGGCTGCGGGAGAAGATCGCGCCGTGAGTGCTTACCTTAAAACCTAATCAAAACCTAGCCAGTTTACAAAAAGAAATTGTGTTTTGTTTTGTGATTTCTTTATTAAAAATATTTTCAGGTATGGATGTCAGCTTCTCAGGCATACTATCGTACATGGAGGACAAGATAGATGATCTCCTGAAAACATACACGCCTGAAGACTTGTGCTATTCTCTGCAAGAAACCACATTTGCAATGTTGGTCGAAATCACTGAACGAGCAATGGCGCATTGCGGTTCTGATGAGGTATATTTGAGAATTGATAATATTAATAAAAATACGTCTGGATTTAGCGTTCGACCATCGGCTCGGGTATTGTTAAATTAAAGTATTATGTATAAGTATTATAGGGCAGTAAAATTTTCGTAGTCGACCTCGTTGGTCATGTAAGCAAGCGTGACTGGTCAGGTATATATGAGGGATTAATATGAGTTTGTTAAGTTTACCGAGGTCGAAATGAAACCGCACTCTGCGCTCTGATTGGCCAGCTCCAATAAACTAACCAATCAGAGCACCGGTCTGGTTCGATTACTATTTGCGAATTGCGATGTTACAATTACGGCTTGCAGCCTAAACTGGGGAAACTGCGGCAATAACAACATACTGGGGGAAACTTTAAAAAAAATTGCCCAAACCTTCGGAGATTAAAATAAGTAGTATTACGATATCTTGTACAATATTTTTTTATGGGATAAGCCGATAAACGCGCAGACGGATCACCTGATGGTAAGCATTCGGCGTCACTCATTACCCATTCTAGGGATTAGTAATTTAAGGATTCAGGGATTAGAGAGATTGGGGAGAGGGTAATTGTGCCTCCGGTAGCCTCACTCACAAGACGAGACACGAACGCAAGCGTTGTTTCACGTCGGTTTTCTGTGGGGCCGTGGTATCACTCTGGTCGAGCCGGCCCATTCGTGCCGAAGCATGGCTCTCCCACAATTAACATACAAATAATATTTAATAATTTGTGGCAGGTACTGATAGTCGGTGGTGTTGGCTGCAATGAACGTCTGCAAGAAATGATGGGAGTAATGTGTGCGGAACGAGGAGCCAAACTATTCGCCACAGACGAAAGATTTTGTATCGACAACGGTGTAATGATCGCCCACGCAGGCGCACTGGCTTTCCAATCAGGAGCCAGAATGGATTTCAAAGAATCAACTATTACGCAGAGATATAGGACCGACGATGTCTATGTTACGTGGAGAGATGATTAAATTGTTTTTATATTATAATATTTATTCTTTTATTTAATTACTTTTATGAACCTGTCGAGATCCTTGATTGTTTTGTGTGGCACTTTAAATCTTTTACTCTTAAACACTTAAAGCACGCTGCTCGTGAGGAAGAACCCCTCTGTGGTTCGAAACTAGTAGAGCTTTTCTCAGTGTATTCACGTGAGTAACCCGCGATTTTAGTCAATTAAAAACGGAGTTTCTAGATTGATTTAAAGTTTATAACATAACATCACACTTTTTATCCCCGAAGGGGTAGGCAGAGGTGCACACAGAACAGAAGTGACACCCACTTTTCACTATTTATGTTATGAGTCCCATGTAATAGGGGGTGAGCTTATTGCCATATACCGCGCACATTTCCAGACTCCGTGCTACTAGTGAGATTTTAAAGTTCGTATCTTTTAATTTTAAAGTTCTTATGTCTAAAAAATCAAAACTAAATTGTTAAGTTACAAAAACTTTATTAAATCAACCATTTATATTTGTTCAAAATAAGGATATCACTGCAAACTCATCGGGAGCAAACACGCAACAAATAACATTACAAACGTACCATTATTATTGCATATTCAAAATAAATTATATATCCGTATTGATTGAACTCAGGAATATTGATAAAACTTAACAAGTAATGTTTTACTTACATTAATATAAATAAATACTACAGAAATGCAGACGGAGTAATATTGCCAACAGCGATATATTCATCTAGAGTCAGTGTTGCCACATATTAGGCTCATAATGGCGGGAAGATGCAAACAAACGATGAAGTATCGAGGTCAGGTTTATAAGTCGATTATTCAGTGTACAGATCGAGCGTTATGGTTCCGATATAAAAATTCGTTAATTTTGTCTGGGTCTTAGAGTGTAGTATGCGGCAACACTACCTCCACTCACAGCACATCTACATACACTTCATAAAACGAATCCTAATCCTAAAATGTTAATATTGTCCAGATTAAAAAAATTATAAAGAATTTCTTAAGTCTGGACAAGTTCTTAAAATACAATCTTAGGTTTAACTGCAATTTGAAGAACCCTGGCCATTATTGTCGAGAGAAAATCGTCAAAAAATGTAAATTCATTCTTTCTATGAAGCGAGTAGTTGTATGAAAGAATTCAATCACATCTCTTGACACCAAATGCGCAGTTAGACCAAAGAATTTATAGAATGTTCTGACTTTTCATTATTTTTCAATAGTAGTTGAATAAATATACAATCTTTTAAATATACAATACATTGTACTTAAAACATTTTGCGACCAATTTTTTACTGATAATGTTTCTTAGTTTTTTACCAGTGCATTTACAGTACATACTCGTATAAGTACATTTTAATAGTACCCAATAATTCATGAAGGGTAAACTCATTAGATTAGAAATGGTATTGTTTCAGCTATTTAGAAGTATTCCTTGTATTTACAGAGTTTAGTGAGTATTAAACTGTCAAACACCAAGCGGTCACCGGTGACCGCAACCTATTGTTCTATAATTGTGTCTACAAAACCGGTACTTGACGAGTTAAACCGAATTATAAGAGGATGTCTCTCACAAGGTGAACTTATTACACAAGAATCATCTTTTACATGTTTCCACATCAATTGAAAGTAGCCTGCATACACAATATACTGAATAATAGCATGCAGTCATACACAAATTCTTACAAAACTTATACAATTATTGCTTTACAAATGGTACAAAATTTAGCCCTAATTGGCACTGGCTAGAAGACTGCATACATAAAAATGGTGATTATGTAAGTCTGTATGTATGTAATTTACATATTAAAACTTAATTTCGTTGATATTTAAAATTACTTGAACATATCCACCACAGAATTTAAACATTTATCAATTTAAAATCCTTACAACGAAAAATGTACAATGTACAGATATAGAACCTCATTGTAAGGACTCTAGAAATTATAATAAATTAGTCTATGAGTCTAAAATAAAAAAAAAAACAAATGGAAATGTATGAACAATCCGAGTGATATTTATAAAAGCGACAACAAAACGAGCTTATAATTAATGTAGAAACCACGGAACATAATGTTCACATACTTTGTACTAGGACCCTCTCTTAAAAGTCTTGGCTTGATACTCTAGCACTTATTTGGTTCAAGTTGTGTCTCATAAAGTGTCTGCAATGTGTAGCCCTGTGTAAACTATGATCCAAGTTACCTGTAACAATAGAAAATGAACAAATATTATTTCTAAAGGTATATTTATGAGGAATAGCACCTGAATAGTCAAAATTGGGTTGGGTTGGTAATTACTTAAGCTACTAGTCATAAGCCAATGTAAGATCTTAAGAAACATTATGGAATGCAAATAAAGATATGATTATGAATAGTTTGCTTCTTAAGACAGCAAATTAAACTGACCAAAACTTTAACTATTGATTAATTAATTATCATCTTAATTGCAAAGAAAGAGGTTTGTGATCAATATAATTTATTACACATGGAGTCTAGTGGTTTTGCAGACCTAAGCAAAATATTTAATGGAAATAGAATAACATAATATGTGCAGGAGGTAAATAAATCTGGAGAATGTAGGTTGAATACACATCATCCCTTGATAAAACAGATGTAAAAGGTAAGAACAGTAATATTCTACTATCACTCCATAAAATAGTAATTCTTGAGCAAACATTGAGATAAAATAACACAGTATTTACTTGTAACTTACCAAAAATCCAGCAAACGAAGTCATGAAACCTTCCTTAGTTATTTCCCATAAACCACCATATTCTTCTTCATCAATGCTTTGGAAATTGTTAACATAAAAGTATATTACTGCTGCATTTACTAGGACAAACCTGAAAGAAGATATAGGAGGTTTGAAAACTGTGTAAAGCATATCAAATTTGTGAAAAATTCAATAGAAATTGTGTGCTACGTAATTTAATATTTCTCGATATCTATCAAGTCAAATGAGGTAACGTAATATATGAATCCTTACAGTAATAAACCAACGAAGCCTTTCATTGGCAGTAGGCCCCAAAACAGACCCAAAATAATGCCCATAGCTTGACGCATCCAGTAGATAACGTCTAGGAACTCTTCCTGAAAATACCCGAAACATTTAATTGGTTAATAAATAAGATTTTTATTAACAAATTTTGAGCCAAGTCTCGTGATTTCCAAATCTAACCTTGTCCGGCCATTCCGCGTTCGCAACTAACGCTCGCTTCCACGCTGAATCCTGTAGTTTAACCTTATTGTTTCCATCTGCAACCTGCTTGCTTTTACTCGCCATTTTACAGCTATTTTCTTTCAAATTATTAAATTAAATTCATAGGATTTTTGGAATCAATAAGTCATTTCATGAAAATCGTACACGTCACTGTGACATTGATATTTTTGGTTGTCAAATGTCATTTAACTTTTTTATTTTGACTATGAGTACATAGCTTTTCAGCTTGGTGTTGCTGCTAAGAATAAAACCACCGAAATGGTAAAAAATTAGAAATTATCGTCTTATTTGTCATTCTTGTTTTATCAACAGAAAAACCTTAGTTAAACAATATCAGTATCACCCACCCTTTGCGTGTAATAGGGTGAAGTCTTCTGTTGAATGATATATATGTTTATGTATAATCCTAATATCATGCATCATTCAATCAGGAAATTGAAACAAAGAGAAATATAGAAAACACGATTTATTAAAAATGCATTGATTGATAAAATAAGCAGGCTTATAAAGTAGGCGCAACCCTATTCTTTATCCTTTGAAGTCGTTCAGCCTCCATATTTTTGGTAATGTCCCAGCATTCCTTGTTGAGAGTATCCAGCCCTCGGGAGAGACTGACCAGCCGCGCTAATACCAGCAGTCTATGTAAATCGTCAGCCGTCACTGGGCTATCTGAATCCGATTTGCTCCTCATTTCTATGAAATCGTCTTCCACAAACTGAAACAAAAAAAAAATATTGGTTAAATATTTTGCTTCATTCGTTATTATTCATAGAAAAAAGTGTAGTAGTGTCTTCCTCAAATATTTTTGGTATGTAGTTCATTTATTGAGAAAGGTTATAAATAGGCCACAAAATATCACGTCACGACCAATAAGAAGCAAGTAGCGGATGAAACGCGCTTGAATAATTATTTTTAAATTTGGTAATTCATTTATAGAGGAAGGCTAAAACATCGCAGGTATAGGCAATAGGCGCCGATTAGAACTGGTAAAAGCGGGCGGAAATAGCTAGTTCTTAAACAATATCTCAATCTCACCTGCAAATCTTCACTTATAGTATACTTCACAAGCTTAAGACTAGTTAGGTACTTCCTAATAATGTTCATGATGTCTTCCTTTAAATAATAAGTCGCTGCTTCGACGATAGCGTCGAATATTTTTAACGAAGCTTCTTCAGGGCGCAGTGGGAGATGGTAATCACTCTGAAAGACATATAAAATCCAAAGTTATTTACTGATACACATTTAATTATCTTCATAGTTCAAGCTGAACAAATTTTCAAATTACAAATTGATTATTATCTCAAGAATTACAATATTTGTCTAACATTGAAGCAGCCCCAGTAAGTTATCATACAATACTGAACAGAGGCACCTATAAATGGTAAAAACAAAGTCTGTTGGTTTCATAATGAATTAATCATTGAAAGGTTTTTAGTAGTAAAAGCCTACAACATATGGCTTAGGAAAAAGTGATAAGCCCATAAAATACAAAAAAACACAGTTGCCTATTCAATAATAAGGTAGTTGCCAGGGTATGAAAATGAAAAGGCTAATTAGTCCTTAGAAAAATGAAATGAAAAATATCAGACACGTATTTTGTATTTTCCTATAAAGTTACAATACTTAGATAAAATGAAGTTAAGTTTAGGAGTGGGAGGTCGTTACGTTTTCGGTTTTATAGTGTTGTGACGTTACACGATATTTAAAATTAATATAATAGTTACCGTCGAGTATTCAATTTTGTGTGAAAAGAAAAAATACGAATCTAATGTTTTAAATAAATTTACCAGATCGACATTAAAACAAAATTTAGGAAACTACCCTATTTCGAACAACAAAATTTTTTATTTACATTTTAGTGAATATTTACTTAAAACTATAACATAAGATAGAATAAAAACTCACCGGTAACAAAGATTTGCCTTCAGACAATATAAGCACTGAAACATCAGATTCAAAGTCCATTTTATAATACTTGAAGTCGTATTCCACTTTCTGTGTCATGATCATGTTGCCCAGTGCCGCAATGTTGTTCACTCCGGTGGCGTCTAGTCGCCCCTGTTCCATTTTAGTCTCATCTAACACAAGGTGGGTGTCTTTACTGAGCTGTAGTACTCCACTTGTGAGGCGGTTGCATTCATAGTCTTTTCTGTGGAGGTAAGATTTTTGTTACATAATATAACATAACGATTTTGTTGGGCTTAAATTATAACATACTTACCTATGTGATTTAAAGATAAATAAATAAATAAATAATAACAATAAATCACGCCTTTTATCCTCAGGGGGGTAGGCAAAGGTGCACATTATGGCACTGTACAATGTAACACCAACTTTTCACTATTTATGTTATGAGTCCCATGTAATAGAGGGTGAGCCTATTGCCATATACCAGGCACAATTCCAGACTCCGCGCTATTACTGAGAATTAAAAAAAAAACCAATAATACTTTGGCTGACCCGGGAATAGAACCCGAGACCCTTTGCCTGGCAGTCGCACTTGCGACCACTCGGCTAACGACGTAGACATTACTAAAATACATTATAAGAATATCAATTAACAGACATCACCTTTTACCTACTCAGATAAAGGGTGGTTTGATAACTAGCAATTTACTCACACTCAGATTTGCTGTACTAATAATCACATTTTGAAACAATAGACTATAAAATCTCTTATCTCTATTGCGAACTTGCGAATGCAGGTTTTATTTTCATTGAATAATCATAATCATGTTCATTAACTAAGAAATAACTGCTGCTGCATGCCTGCTTGACTGCCTAGTGCTCGTAAGTGAGACTACCGGGCAAGGTGTCTCGGGCAGGGACTGAATAACCGAAAAATTACGATACCTTTAAATTGCGGTATGACGTCATACCGTTAAATAACGGTTACCGCTTAATTTCGGTATCGAAATTTAATTTCGGTACCGTTATTTTTGGGTATGAAATGAAAACCGGTATATTTCGGTACCAGTATCCTAACCTGAATAATAAAGGTATGAGAGAGATATTGACCGCGCTAGATCATCTATCCTATTTCATCGCATTGCATTAGTTTGGCTTGTTCTCTGGACACAATCACATGCGGCTCGCGTTATAATATTTTATGGTGTGCTGAGTTGAATTGAGATAACAATTATTAACAATGTCAAATAACGCACGAAAACTTATAATAACAGAAATAAGTAAGTATATGTACTTATTACTACTTATGTAATCTGATAATAACATACTTCTAGTTGACACGTAACGAGTACTAAGTACTAGTATCTTACCTACTCGTTGTCGACGCGTACGGCACGCGGCGGCGATCTAACGCCAGTAGACACGCTCACACACAGACGCTGCGTGCGTACTATTTTATTACACTTTTTATGTTATTACACTATAGCTCATTACTATAGTTTATTATAACGTAGTGTGTTATAATATTTTTTTTACCTTATAGGTATATATTTTCACGACATTTTTGTCAAAAATTGGTTAAATGCCTAAAGTTTTTTTATTTCTACCTCGTCGGGCGCGGATTTCCAGAATTCTTGTTTTGATTCAAAGGGTATACTCCCGAGATGGTCCTTTTCATTGAGGTCAGGATCTGATAATAGAAGCCTAGGAAAACCGAGGAGAACTTTCGAAAATTGTAGGGGCGTGTAATATGTGTATTGTTATTCAATTAGGATTTTTAAACTCTACCCCAGGAGGGTACCAGCTCCGCTGGAGAATCCCTCCCTGAGCATGATTGCTCAGGCAGCCCCGTCGTATCTTGGCAAATTCCCAACGGCGACGTGCTCTGCCACACGTCACGTTTTGTCTCCCCGTGAGTAGGCAGAAAGCGGGCTGAGGATTGCCTTTTTGCTACACTGAATGTGTGTGGAGGCGTAGAAGGCAAGATGTTAGAAATATGTGAGATGATGAATACAAGAAAGATTGATTTGTTAGGGATGAGCGAGACGAAAAGAAAGGGTTGTATGACTACCACACATGGCCAATATATTGCTTACTGGTCTGGTGTTGCAAGTTCCCAGAGAGGCAGCCAGGGCGTGGGGGTCATACTATCTGAAAGGATGAATGAATGTGTGAAAGAGTATAAATGTGTGAGTCCCAGGATACTTTAGATCCGCCTTAAAATTGGCTTGACCAAATTATTTGTCGTCTGTGCTTATGCCCCGGACATCTCAAAGCCAATTGGGGTGAGGGAAGTATTCTGGGATAACTTGAGAGATGTTCTTAATGAATGTAAAGAGAATGAAAGAATAATTATGCTTGGAGATTTTAATGGATGGGTTGGAGTGGCACGCGATGGGTACGATAGAGTATTAGGGCGATTTGGAGACGAACGAGTGAACGAGAATGGTGTATGTCTTCTGGATATATGTGTAGAAAAGGAACTTTTTGTGACCAACACAACATTTGGTCACAAGAAGATACATATGTATACATGGCAGAGGCATACAGAAAGAAGTACGATTGATTTTGTGATTGTTGATGAACGCCTGAGGACAAAACTGAAGGATACAAGGGTTTACCGTGGCACGAATGTCGGAAGCGACCACTTCCTAGTAATTACTAGAATAGCTGGACTGGCAATGAAGTGGAGACATCGGCCACGGGTAAGGTTGCTTGGAACCGAGAGAGTGAGAGTTGAACGGTTGAGAGAAGAGGCAGCTAGGGACCAGTACAGGAAACTATTAAATGAAAGGTTTAGGGAGCTAATGAAAGGTTACGAAAGGAATATAGAAGAATTTTGGAAGGAATTTAAGGATGGAGTGATCGCAGTAGCTACTCAAGTATGTGGGGTAAGCAAGAAAAATAACACTGGAAGCAAGAGGAATGAATGGTGGGATGATGAAGTAAAAGAGGTGATAGAGCAAAAGAAGAAAGCATGGCTCGACTTATTAGCCTCAAAGGCAAATAGAAGAGTGCTAGAAAGTATGATAGAAAAGTACATTAGTCTCAAAAAGAGAGCAAAAGCGGTAGTTAACAAGAAGAAAAATGAATGCAAGGAAAAGTTTGAAAGGAATTTTTCGCGGAACTTTCGAGCCAACGCTAAACTATTCTGGCATTTAGTTAGAAAGGCCAGAGGCAAAGTGGGGGACTCGAAAGTAAGTACGATAAGGGATATAAATGAGTGTCATTGAAGAAAGTAAGGATGTTTTAAAGCAGTGGAAGGAATACTTCGAGAATTTATTTGAAAGGAGTGATTTGAAAGAAGAGGAAGTAAACGATGAAAATGAAAGTGCTAATGTGGGAGAAATAAATATGGATGAAATTGTGAGTGCCATTAAGAGTTTGAAAGTAGGTAAAGCAGCGGGATGTGATAGGATAACTACTGAAATGCTAACAGAGGGTGGAGGTGTAATTGCAAGCCTGGTGTATCTAATTTTTAATAAGTATTGGCGGTGCGGTCGTGTCCCTGGAGTCTGGGCCAAGGCCGTAATTGTGCCACTGTATAAAGGAAAAGGATCACAGCAGGAGTGCAAAAATTATCGCGGTATAAGCCTCCTAAGCGTAGTAGGAAAGTTGTATGCCAAGGTATTGATCGAAAGAGTGATGGATGTAACTGAGCGTAAAATCTGGGATGTGCAAGCGGGATTTCGAAAGGGAATGGGATCAAGAAATGTACGGATCAAGTCTTTTCGTTACGGTTCATTTCAGAGAAAGTGTTATCAAAGCACCAAAAGGTATTTTGTGCCTTTATAGACCTAGAAAAGGCTTATGACAGAGTGGTGAGGGATGAATTGTGGTCAACTCTGTCCATGTATGGGGTGGATAGCCACCTGATTCGGGTACTTAAATCCTTATATAAGGACTCGAGTGCCGTTGTCTGAATAAATGGGGACTACACAGAGTGGTTTAAAATTAATCGAGTTGTTAGGCAAGGCTGTGTAGCATCTCTTTGGCTGTTCAACCTATTTATGGAGAGCTGTTTGAACGACTTGAAAGTAGGAGAGTCTGGATTAAGGATGAATAACACAGTGATTAAAACATTGTTGTATGCCGACGACCAGTGCTTGTTGCCTCGTCGGCCCAAGAATTACAACAAATGATCACTGCTATGAATGATGCATTTGAAAGGAAAGATATGAAAGTAAATGTGTACAAGACGAAAGTGTTGGTGATAGAAAGAAATGAGGTGATAACAGAATGTCAGGTAATGATAGGTGATGAAAAAACCCACCATGGGAAACAGGCGTGAAGTTATGTAGGTATGTATGTACAATTTGAAAAGGGTCTGGAGTCGACCTGATGATGGAGCCGACAGACAGTCAAAGGAACTCCTCAACGGTTTATATTAACTACCTTGTGTTTGGGCTTGATTGATTTGTATTGATGAGAAATTTACACCTAGATGGAGTAGGACTATCATTAAGGGTCTGATGATGAAGAACTGTAATTGTTAAGGGAACTCATCAACGCTTTATAGTAACTACCTTGTGTTTGGGCTTGTATAATTTGTATTGATTAGAACTTTGCGTCTATGTGAATTATAAGTGGCAAAATGGATCCATGTAGTATGTCTTTTGTTACTGAATCAATGGCAAAATCAATTCAGCATTGGTAAAACAATCTAAATTGAATACCTAATTAAGTAAGTATATGTATATAACTGTTTAGGGACGTTATGGGTTATAGTTATTTTATTGTAATGATGTTATAGTATAGCCTTGGACCCACCGTTGCGCACGCTGTGCAAGTGTGCAACCTAGCCACGAGCACGCTGCGCATGTTAACTGCGTGTTTGACAGGGTGGGTTTAGCGGTAGGGTTGACGGGGATGTCTATTCTTTAAATTAAGCCTAAGGAAGAACGAACATCACTAATATTATTAGTGAGTATTTGATTTAAATTTAAAAATACCTACTCGTCATTCAAAGAATAGTCTGTCAATCTCATCGCTTGACCCACGCTGTCAAACATCCGATTAGCGTATGCCATATGCCTGTGGACAGAGTGCACAGTGTCCACAGCGGTAGGCGCATTTTCAACGACTTAGGTACTGACGTTTGGGACAAACAAGTTACGACCACTTTGTCCGAAATCGTTATATCTATGACATGCTTCACCTTTTTTATAATATGCGATAATAATTATTTTAAATGTGCAGTTATGATGAAGTCGGTAAAAATAATCTCGTAATCGATCACGATTACGATCTGGAATACTAACTAATAATAATTGTAGTTAAAATTCCAAGGTAGGTACCTAATCCTATTCATCTTATGAACATAATATTATATATACCTAGTAAATAATCAAAGTTTAGGTAAGTACCTACCCTAACGAACGATACCCAATGACTGGTTTTATGTAGGTATGTAATATAAGTAAACAAACATTACGATGTTCTTAGGTACACACCTACCTAGGATATCCGAAAGTTTAGATAGGTACGTACCGAATAATAAGATAAATGTTATACTTAGGTATCTTATAGCTACAAGATAGATAATTATGTACATACCTACCAATTACATTTAGGGTATAGGTTGTATAAGTAGTATATTGCATCTATACTCACTGACCGGTCAAAGTTTACAATGAATTGGTAATATTGTGTAATTTACGTTTCGAATAATAAATAAATTAACAAGATAGGTACAATACTTATTTTATTATAGCTGAGCATCCAGTTACTAAATATGTAGAAACATTACTTTCCTTGGAAAATGAAAAAAACGCATATACTCATTAGTACTTATATCTCCAATCCATATACTGCATTTTTACGTTTCCGCCTCATAGTTAATAGTTACACGACTATTATATATTTATTAGATAGGTACAGTACACACAAATCGTACAACGGTAGCGTAGTTTAGTTGCAGCAGTGACACGAATAAACAGGTACACAGGCGCGCGTTTTTCGCATGCCGCTGCTCCACTCCGAGGCATGGGGCACCTCGCACCACACCCCGCACACCCCTAGATTTACGTCCCGCAACGGTCAAATCTAAGTTTTTCGGTACCGTTATCGCATAAAGGTTAAATACCGGTATAGCTTTAATTTCGGTACACTTATTTTATACCGGTACCGTACCGTTATACCTTAACCGCTTTCAGTCCCTGGTCTCGGGTTCGATTCGCGGGTCGGGCAAAGTATTACTGGGTTTTTTAAACATTCTCAGTAGTGGCACGGAGTCCGGATTTGTGCCCGGTATACGACAATAGGCTCACTCCCTATTACATGGTTCTTATAACATAATATAGTAAAAAGTGGGTGTTACATTGTATAGTGGCATAATGTGCACATCTACCTACCCCTTCTGAGATAAAAGGCATGATGTTATGTTAAACTAAGAAGTAAATTAACTTACTTAGGTAGCAAACTGAGTGTATTCATGTTTTCAATAGTTAGTGGTAAGTAGTAACTCTTCGTGACAAATTGTTTGATTATCTCATACAACTGTTTTGCATAGTTAGGGTACTTCTGTGTAGGCAGGTTGGATAGGTTGAGGCAGAACTGGCCGAGAGACAGGGTTTCTTGTCGCAAATATCTGAAAATAAAAATTAAACATAATATCCTGCATATCCCTGAGCGGTCACCGGTTACCGCTCGCCATTAACTACATTATAGACCTTATTTCCAATGTTCACAGACTACTTTTGTATGAACAAATTTAGGGGATGATTTTCAACAATTTTGAATAGGATTATGTAGATTCAAAATAAAGTTCTATCATGTATAGTAGATAACACCTGTCTTAATACCATTGCCAAGGCTGGGTAACCGGGTGCCGACCTGTTCGATTCCTGCACAGAGCAACTCTGTGTGATCCAGAGATTGAGTTGTTCCGGGTCTGGGTGTCATGTGTGTGTGTGAACTTGAATTTTGTAAACGCACCCACGACACAGGAGAAGATCCTAGTGTGAGGCAACATTTAAAAACAAAACATCTTCCAGTGTAAGCAGAACTTTCTTTGGTGTTTCAGGAACAGGACATTCTATATGATATCTTTGTTCTAATCAAAACACAAGTTTATGGGGTTACTTGACATCTTCAAAGCTTCATAGAGTTGTTGTTAGCTTGACTGATGGCTAATTCGACTTATTATCTTAATTGATTGCCTCGGCCTAGTGGTCGCAAGTGCGACTGCTGGGCAAAGGGTCTCGGGTTCGATTCCCGGGTCGGGCAAAGTATTACTGGGTTTTTATAAATTATCCGTGGTAGCACGGAGTCTGAAATTGTGCCTGATATATGACAATAGGTTCGCCCCCTATTACATGGGACTAATAACATAAATAGTGAAAAGTGGGTGCTACATTGTACAGTGGCATTAAATGCCGTAATATGCACCTCTGTCTATCCCTTCAGAGATAAAAGGCATGATGTTTTGTTATCCTAATTTTGAGCTTAGAGATTGTGAGACAGGCCCTTAGTATAATACAAATGGTACTAACATGCAAGATATGAGATGGCATATCAAATACTCAGCAGCGAGTTTGTCACCCAACAACAGTTCTGTGAGAGCCTTCAATAAATGTTCGCGCGCCGAATTTGCTTCTTTTAATACTGATTCTGAAATAAAAGGAAAATATTTTAAGTATATTAGTATATTTACTCAAACATTAAATATCGGATGATTGGCAAAACATGGCGAAAGACATAGAGGATTGGAAACAACTGGAGGAGGCCTTCACCCGAAGGGGGCCTACACCCTAGTGAAATACAAAATTGGATAGAAAGACTTAAATTGAAAAAAAATTAAATACATTTTAATATCTACTTATAAAGCACCTATTTAGGGTACAGGGAAATAAAGGCTTTTTTATTATTTTACTAGCTTTACCCGCGGCTTCGCTCGCGTCACAAAAGGATAAAAAGCCAATATGACATATACCAATACACACAGCGCCATCTATACCAATACTTTTGTTTTCCCTCGGGAATATCAAATTTTTCCGGGATAAAAAGTACCCTATTATTTAATACGGACTTCTAACTATACATCTGCAAAAATTCAAAACAATCGGTTTAGTAGTTATGGCGTGAAAGCGGAACAAACAAACTCACTTTCCGATTTATAATATTAATAGTAAGGATTTAACTCTAACATCACTGAAGCAGATTAAAGGTCAATGAAAATATACAAAAACTTCGTACGTAAAACAGCCGTGATTATTCTTTGTATAGGTAAAAAGATGATAGATATGTTTTTTTTATTGGTTAAAATGGTGAACGAGCAGAAGGATCACCTGATGGTAAGCAATCGGCGCCGTCCATGGACATCCCAAACATAGAGGTGTTACAAGTGCGTTACCACTAATTATTACTTTTTAAAAAAATATAAGATCTTTTTTTAAATTAGTAGGTAGTACATTTACCTTGATCAAAACTCTGAATTAAAGGGTTGCAATGATCCAACTTCTTAACATACACTGCATGTAGCCTTGGTACTAAGCTCGGTGGAGGGTTGTGAGTGATAGTTTCTACCTCAGACTCCGTCTCAGGATCTAGTAAAGGATCCTTCTCTGGTTGGAACTCCCCTGATAATGCTGGATCTACTGATAAGAAGCCTACTATTTCTATCATCTCATTCAATTTCACATTCTCACTGTCATCGTAGATCTGAAATAAATGGTAGTGTTGTTTTAAATTTATTGAAGTCTTAGTGTTATCACATCAATCATAGATAATTAATACTAGAAAAATATGGTAACCCAAAAATGCTGTAATTTAAGATCCACTCTCAAGTATCTAACGTGTATGACAAAATTCAAAGGTTTTGTTTTCATAATAACTATCATAAGACATATTAAAAAATATATACTAGTTTAAAAATGACACATTCGACACAGCTCTGCCTAAAATTAAGGAAACAAACAACAATGTTAAACATACAATAACGATAATGTCAAGTATACTCAAATATATGATCATACCTTAACAATACAAGACTTGCTTGGCATATCAGGCAAAGGGAAGTTTAACAAATGCTCCCTAGACAGTACGCTACCCGTATTAGTCTCCGTATCACTAATCTTCGGTTCCTTATTGGTAACTACCTCTTCAACTACTTCCATCGCATCAGAATCTTCCTCCGTCTCATCGTGACTTCGTTTCAACTTCGTACCAGTGTTACTTAAGCGTTTAGATGTGTTTGGTTGTTGTTCTAAATGTTTTAAATGGTTTTGTCTGTCTTCTAACTGCTGTGCCCAGTCATTAAGGCCAGGCATTGACACCACAACCATTGTCTGGCGTTGTGAACTTCTGAGATTCTCTGTGTAGTTGATTTTTTCATTTTCCTGTGTTGTGTGTGGGTTTTAATTGTAAATCCAATAAGAATAAGTATTTGGAAGTTAGATATTTTAATTTTCTAGTTGGAATTATTTTTGACTTACCAATATATGAGCTGTGTCCCTGTACTTGCCACTTTTACTTTTGGTAACATTTGTGACTGTGTTAAACACTTCAAACTGTTCAAAATAAAACTCAGGATTGTGCATATCCTGTACCATTCCTCGGAAACGGACCAAAGTGCCATCAGGTAGGTTGTGAGAAGCATTAGAATTGATGAGAGGTATCTTAAAAGAAAAATGTAAGGTTAATTAAAGGTCATACTTTTACGACTGTTTTTTTTTTTTAATTAAATGCAGTTATGGTGTCAAAAATTATACCTGGAACCAATTAGGCAGTTTTAATAGTTTCTCTTTCCACGCTTCTTCGTTTGCCATCCACAAATCAGGTGTAACAGTCTCAAAATCGGTCATTAGATCGTGCATTTTAGAAGAGATACTAAAAATGAACTCTTGTAATATAATAAATGATTTTTTATAGGTTCTGCTTGTAGGGTGTGTTCTATAGTCTATTTTAACAGAATAAATTCACCCAAAATATTTCTAATTTTAATCACACACTTCGGCTTCGGCTACTAAGTTTTTTTTATGCCGATTTGACAGCGCGCGAAATAGATCTATAGACAAATAGAATGAATGAACTGTTTATTTTTAGCAGTCGACCATAAACTATACTCCACTTTGTCTTTGTTTTGTTGTACAAATGTACATTGTACATGTACAGTTTGTATTGTTTATGGTAGTAGATGTAGCATCGTTTTGTGGCGGCGTCGGTAAATTAATTTTTAATTCTACCATTTTCTCTGTTTCTTTAATGTTTAATCAGCATTAGCAATCTGCAGTACTAATTTGCAGTTAGTTCGTTTAATAATCTCATAAATTCAAGTGGTCTAAACACAGGCCCTGCAAACATTTGGACTTCGTACAAACTTTCATTATGAGTAAGTATATTGGTATTTTATGCATATTTACTCTTGTAATGTGGTAGTGTAGTGATAATGAAAGTAAATACTTTCATTATTAATCTTTTGTGTAGTATTATTTTGTTATACATGAAAATAATATAAAATTGTATAAGTCGACATAACCTCAAAATTATAAATATGAGCGGCGGCGTCCAGCGACCTACTAAACAATAATTCTTTTCATAATATTATTTTCTTGTTTCAGCAATGGATATTCGGCCTAACCACACGATTTATATCAACAACCTCAATGAGAAAATTAAAAAAGAAGAATTGAAAAAGTCTTTGTATGCCATATTCTCACAATTTGGCCAGATTTTGGACATAGTGGCATTAAAAACACTAAAGATGAGAGGTCAAGCTTTCGTTATATTTAAGGAAATATCCAGCGCCACTGTAGCTTTAAGAAGTATGCAAGGTTTCCCATTTTATGACAAACCTATGGTATGTATTTCAGTACTCTTCAAGCATTAACTGCAACCAATGATATGAATAGTAATCTAAAAATATATTTTTACTTTTTCAGAGAATACAATACTCAAAAACAGACAGTGATGTCATTGCTAAAATTAAGGGTACCTTCCAAGAAAGACCGAAGAGACCAAAAATGCCTAAGGGTCTTGATGAAAACAGGAAGAAGAAGAATAAGGATCCTAACCGTGCTGGCATGCATATGGGACAAGGAGGCATGCTCAACAATGTCAATGCTGAACAGCCTCCTAACCAGATCCTGTTCTTGACCAACCTACCTGATGAGACGTCAGAAATGATGTTATCTATGTTGTTCAACCAGTTAGTACAGATTCTTGAATATGAATTAAAATTGTTGAAGTTTAACTCGTCGAGTACCGGTTTTGTAGACACAATTATAGAACAATAGGTTGCGGTCACCGGTGACCGCTTGGTGTTTGACAGTTTAACTGTAAAACATTTTTTATATAATTATATTTTACTTTTTACAGATTCCCTGGCTTCAAAGAAGTTCGTCTTGTGCCAAACAGGCATGATATTGCTTTTGTTGAATTTGCAAATGAAATGCAATCTGCTGCAGCCAAGGAAGCTCTACAAGGCTTCAAGATCACACCTACCCATGCAATGAAGATTACCTTCGCCAAGAAATAATTTAAATGTACAATGTACCAAATTGTTTATATTTAGTCAATAAATAAAGTTTAAGTATTGAGAACTGTTTCGAGCATTGCACTTAGCCTGAACAGCTCTCTTCGGCTGTGATATATTTTTAAGATTTCATAACGAGTTTTACTTTTATAATGGGATATTTTAGCCCAATTAGCAGTGGAGTATACACTTCACATGGTTTGATTACACCGTCTATTTAGGTATAAAGCACCTATTAGTTTTATGGTGTTTTCCACCCAAAATATTTCACAAAAAAAATTGCATGACCCGAAAATCGTTGACCTGGTGGAAACTACTAGTTAATTCGCAAAAACTACCATTTCTAGAAGAAATTTAGTCAAGTAGTCTGGCAATTTCTACCAGGTAGAATACGTCTAAATATAATCTGAAGATATGCCCGCTAAAAAGAGACAGATATATACGCTTTACTGATGTATGAAAGGGACAATCATATTATTTCCATCAATGAACACAATCCGTATTATTTTATATTTTTGGTGATTGCGAAACTGTCAAACGGGTCGCAGATGAGATGATTTCATTTATTTTTCTTTGAAATATTTATTGTTTTTAAGTTTATTTCTTCTTTTAGCGAAGTGCCTTTGAAAGACCTAACGGTTTATACATAATTTAGTTGTGTTTGTTAGTGATTTTGAGTTTAAAACATGGAAGATATATTTCAGTGGTGTAGGGAAGGAAATGCATTACAGGTACGAGTTTGGCTGGATGATACGGAACATGATATGAATCAGGGGTAAGTAGAGTATATCCTCGATGTATTTCATTAATGATACCCCATATGGATCATCTAGTTCTTCCGAATATGGTGTTGAGAGAACACGCCCACTATGTAGTCATGGCCTAGTACTATGCGTCAGATGTGTACAAAAATAATAATAGTCTGTGGTTATGAGATCAGTTAATCGACCTTCGTGGTGCATAAATTAATTAATTATTAAAATAATAAGCTTTTCGTTCACAAGTGGGTCATAATTTTCTGAAAAGCTTGTCTGAGAATAGAACTGATCTTATTAGAAACTATAGTTGCTTTGTATGATGTATCTGTTCTACCTTTTCCTGTTGATTTGATTGCCATGTATTAAAACATAGTTTCCTCATTTGAATTCAGGAAATAAATATAAAAAAGACACAGAATATATGTCCATTAGCAGATCCATGAAGAATATTGTTTTATTTCAATTACATGTTTTGTGTCTCAAAATAATTAATGTTTTCTATTAAAATTGGCCTATCTACAGACTTTTTATTTCTATTTTTTCTAAATATTGTTGTACTTATGAGGGGGGGGCGGGGTAATCAGCTAGGAACATCTCCCGCCTTGGGTGAGATAAGAGTGTCAGACTCTTACTGACTAAAAATCCTGCTTAGAGCTGGAGCCTGTTTTAGTTTTAGTTGTCGGCAGTATACCTAAATTTTAAGATTACAGTAAAATTCTAAGAATCAATTTTCTTATGCAGTTACCAGCTTTCCGCTCACTGTTTTGCCTGTATGAGGAAGGAGGAAAGTTGTCTTTACCACTCTGCAGCCTCCCTGACAAAATATCTTGAGGTCAACAACCAGTTCATAAAAATGCTCTATAGCACAATGAAAAATAAAACAAAAATCACTATATTATAGTAAGGAATATAATTATAATACAATGTATACACTAACAAAAAAAAAATAGAGTTTATATTGCTTTAGTCACAGTAAATCAATGAGTCTCTAAAATAAGAATAATTGTACTATGTTATGGCTTATGGCATCATTCATTGAGGAAAACATTAGTCATTGGAAGGAAATCTAAGGAATGTAACTAATGTAGGTAATTAGTTCAACCTCTGCAACTCATAAATTGGATCTAACTACACAACATGTAGTATTTCTCTTCAGGACACTATAGTTGTTCATATGCAAGGAAAAATATGAATTTAAGAGACTACATTGTTCTGTATTTTTCAAATAAATATAATTCAGTACTACTTTTGAAAAATATGTTGTGCAGTATTCATATTGGTTACGTAAATGCGCCTCACATATCTCTCTAGCCATTAAAACAAAACTAGCATTTAGCAACAACTGAAATGAAAAATATAACTGTACCAAACACTTTAAACATTAAATGTATATTTTTTAAACATTGCCCCGAACTTGGATTGTCTCTTGTGTCGTGCATACATTTACAAATACACAAGTTCACACACATGACACCCAGACTCGGAACAACAATCTATGGATTACACAAAGAGGTGTTCCGTGAGGCAATCGAACCCGCGATACGATGCGCGGCAGCCAGTTGCCCAGCCACCGCGCCGACCATGCAGTATACCACTATTTAAGCTACATCGGTTATATGTTACTTGTAATATTAGAAGGGCCACCCTTCTAATATTGTGAATGAGAAAGTTTGTATGGTTTTTTGTTATAACAACAGTCATGTCTCGTTCCAGAGATGACCATGGCTTCAGTCCACTCCACTGGGCTTGCAAGGAAGGCCACATCAAGATCGTTGAGATGCTCATCCGCCGCGGCGCTCGCATCAACGTCACTAACATGGGTGACGACACACCACTACATCTTGCAGCCGCCCATGGGCACAGGCCGATTGTGCAGCTGGTAAGTTGTCCATCAACTTTTCAATGGATGTCAGGTAGAAACTACAGAGACTAGCATACTATAGATATTTGATACGGAGCCGCGGAAGGCTTAACTTGTTGCCGGGCCCCGGCTCGAAGAGCAGGAGTAGGAACGGAGTGGTTTTTAGTCAGTTAGAGTCTGACACTCCATCTCGCCTAACCGACGGCGGGAGAAGTCATAGGACGATTATCACTTCTCAAAAAATTAAATTACTTAAATACTATAGATATTTCTTAAGCTACCATTCTAAAATCTTATAAGATGAAAGACATCAATGTGATCAGTAGCACAGAAAGTTATAACAATTAAGTCAACTGGAGTTTGAGCCACTATTCCTCTACATAAGAGGGACCCATTAACATCATAAAAATCTACAATACGACATAAAACTAATTAATTAAACAAAAAATAAATTAACCTTGTTTGTTCCCATACAGCTGCTACAAAATCGTGTAGATGTAAACTTCACGAACGAGCATGGCAACTCGCCGCTACACTACGCTTGCTTCTGGGGCTACAGTGCGATCGCCGAGGACTTGTTGATGGCTGGAGCTCTCGTGTCGTTGGCTAACAAGGATGGAGACACGCCATTGGACAAGACTAGGGGACAACTTGTGCAGAGGTAAGCATGATCTAGCCAATCGTATTTCTTAATTTTGAACATCTAAAATTCCATAAAAACATAAAAAAGTCATAAATGAATTACCATGTATCTAACTAACTAGACAAAAAATGTTTAAACGCTACTTTTTGCAGTCGCTATATTTGTATTATGTCTCCTAGGATCGCCAGAAGAATTATCCCACGAATTTATACTGTAGTGAAAACAACAATCTAAACAACCATCTCACTTTCAAATAACCATAATAACCAACAATCTAAACTACCAAATCATATCTCCACAGACTGCACGAGCTGGCCACCCAACAGGGACAAGATCTGAAGAAGATTCAGTTCAAGGACCAGTCCTGGCTCGGCCTGAAGACGAGGAGCAGGGACGCAACGCTCTCCCGTCATAAAGGCATCAACATCAACGAACTGTCGCTGCATACCAGAATCGCTGTTACTCCCTCAGGTACTGTATGCCATTGGCAAATTAGATTTTGAAGTGATTATTATAAGTTCCGAAATAATAAGAATCCAATAAAAAATAAAAATGTATCACCTTGACTGGGTTGATAACACAGCCTCACAGAAAATTCCATACCGGAGGTTACCGGTACCGGTTACCGAGGCGTCTTCCCTAAGAGATCAGCAATGCACTTATAAGTTGCAACATTTTTGGTGTTGCATATCGCCATGGGCGGCACTGGTCGCTTACCATCAGGTGAACCGTTAGCTCGTTTACTTCCTATTCCATTAAAATAAAAACATTCTTCCAGGTGAGACGTGGCGCGGCAGATGGCAGAAGAACGACATAGTGGCCAAGATCCTGGCGGTGCGCGAGTGTACGCCGCGCATACAGAGAGACTTCAACGAGGAGTTCCCCAAGCTGAGGATATTCTCGCATCCTAACATATTGCCTGTTGTGAGTAGTACAAGCAAATAATAATATTATGTCCGAAGTATGGAATAAGTTCACCTCCTTATTACGTGAAGTCGTCACCTGGTGGACTCATAAGTAGTAATTAGTAAATATTGTATGTTGCAATACGCACCTATTCTTCTTAGGGCATTGAAAACCGTTACGACACTGATGATTGAATATAATCTTAATATAACTATTAAATGTCATTTCTTGCCTGTTTTTATCTATACATATAATAAAATTGTAGAAAAGTGCTGTCTGTACATTGAAAATAAAAATAAAAAAAATAGCAGGGGCTATTGTTATGTCGATGTCGAACCCAAAAATGTAA